CAGTGCAGGCAGGTAATAAAAACAAATGACTCTATCACCATTAACACATATTGATAGATTAAAAAAACATTAAGCTCTTATTGAAAAGAGGATAAGGTTGCATTATTTCACCAGATGCCATTATAATCACAATCTATAAACACATATTTTCTGTCATTAATTCATGTGCAGCATCTCAAGTGGTTGGACATGATAAAGATTCATCCACTAAGGCTGTGGCTCATTAGGTATGGCCACCACACAAATCCACGCAATCACATATACATCTCACACACACACACACACACCCACACACACACACCCACACACACACACACACACACACACACACGCACACACACACACACAGATGCTAACGTAAACAAATAGTCACAGAATTCCCTCCAGCGTTGCCAGTCACTCTCTTTATGTCTGACTGCGTCCCATTGAAATGGCAGGTCTATGAAAAGACTGCTCTCAGTTTTGAAAGAAGAAGCATTTGTCTCTTCAGCCTGGATGTGGATGCTGTCTGCATACAGATGTTAGCCCTGGGGCACTGAAACTAATACCATATGGCAGAGTCTCCTTTTCACGTGCTTGATAGTGTTGATAGCCGGACTGAGAAGCGGTTTTACTTCATTCTTTATCGGTGTGTAGGTTCTGCTGTACAGATAAGGAACATGTCTTTATCTGCTATTGCTTGTTGGCTTAGGCATGCAGTATGGTGGACTTCCAGTGTATTATACTTATTTATTGTATGTGAACATCTAACAATCACTACAAATAGAAAGTCAAACAACAGGTGTCAAGGCAAGCAGTACTATAATAGGTTGTACAAATAGTTGTAAATCCTGTGTATATATATATATATATATATAATATGTACAAAAAATCCTCTATTGGATATTTTCTACATATTTGATACACTGTGTAGTTCCTGCTGCATTGTTGTTGTGTTATTAATCCACATCAAATTCTTTCTGAATGAATGTGCTGGACAGCTGCATTTTTCAAAGTCTGGTCTTGGACCAGGAGGTGGGTTGCAAGGAAACAATGCATCACTAGAGAAATGAAAAACTCAACACTAACAGTGTTTCAGTGTTGTGCTGCATAGCATAGAAAACACTGTTGGCAATAGGCAAATGACCAGTTGTTTTGAGGTATTAAAAAGCTCAAAAAGTCAATATTCCCCCAGGTCTTTGGGAGTTTATGTAAAAGTCAAGCTGGATCTTCAGGGTGTGTTTCAGTCAGGAGTTTTTGAAGCAATGTCCAGACTTAGCAATCTCTCCGTGGGATATAGCTACTAAAAAAAAATAATTTTAGCTACAAAGCACAGTAACTGTCTATTTTCTTAACCAGCTCTCAGTACATGGAGGGCATGGAGGGAGAGACATGAGGCACAGATACTGTGTCAGGTGAGAGGGGCAGGCGTATGTCGATGTTGTGAAAACTAAAAGTAAGTTATTGTAGTCTCACCAAGTGATTTGACCTGCTTATCAACACAGTCAACAGTTGAAGCAGCACACACACAAACGTGCACTATCTGAGAATGCCATTATCTCTGGTGTCCATTGCAAATAAACATCCATAAATCAGCTTAGAAATCATAGAAAAACAATTCTTCTCCAGAACACGCCTTACATTTTCCTTATCTACACACTTGCACACACATACAAGTTTTCTTCAGTATCAAAAGTCTGTACAGTCATGGGCACACTGCAAACAGGAATTGCTAATGGCTAATTTGGCGTACCTTTAATGGTGCAGTTTGCCAAAATATAAATCAAAATGGAGACACGGTCGTCTCGACTTTGCATAAGGAGGCCCCACACGTTCAGACTTTGAAATCTTGATCCAATTTTTCCAAAATTATTTTTAGTGTGCTTAACTGTGCAGTTCAACTTCCAGTAAAGAATTGAGTGGATATTAATCATTTATATGATGACTGACATTAAAGCAGGGTTTCGAATACCTGGTGTTTAAATAGCGCTACTCCTTCGCTTTGAAAGGAGACAGGGAGGCATGTGATGGTATTTCAGGCACTGGTAACTGGAAGCAGACCCAGAACATGCTGCAGGGATAACATATCCCATCTAGCTTGGGAAACGCCTCAGACGAAGCTGGAGGATGTGGCTAGGTGAAAGGACGTCTGGGCTAATCTACTAAGGGTTCGGCGGATGACCTAGACACTGATCAGTTAGTCCCTGTTTAACAAAATCCTAGGCTCTCAAATGGCATGTAAAAGCACCAGCCTCCCCTGTCTAACTAGTTTATTCCATGAATCTTCATGAGGCAGAAATACTATAACAGTGAATTTCACAGAGAGATTTCATCTTAGATCCACATAAATCTATCTGAATAGTGAGTGACACTATCAAAGACTTAATTTTAGGTCACCTTTTGCTTTAATGTGCTTTTAAAGCCAGGACACAGCTGCACACATACACATGGTCACGCATGTGCACACGCCCTCTCTCAGACAGTGACACACACTCTTCTGTCCTCAGGACTGCAGAGATCTCATTTAGATAACTCTCCTGATCTCTTAGTACCTCCCAGAGTCGCCCTTTCCCTGCTGTAATCATCCATTATGTTACCACATGAGGAGACAACAGCAACTTTAGCTGATCCTTATACTCGATAGTGAAAGATCAGTGCGAGACGTGAAGGCCTCGTCTGAACCGAAATCGTCTCCCTTTCACAAATTCTCTGACTGTCTTTTGCCGTGTTTTTCGATGTTGCTAAACAGCACACCACCAAAGAATAACAACCTGTACTTTGCACTAAAATAAAATGATCATTTATCTCACTAACAAGCATTCGTCTCGTGACAGCTATGATGCCATTAGTCAAGTGGAGGGTGCTGTATTGATGCTTTTAAAGTGTGGGGTACTTAGCATAGCCAAATCACCCTCGCCTGCCATAATTCTAGTTGTCTCCTTCTCTAGTTAGCCTGCACCTCCCCATCTCTAGAGCACTCACATTACTCCTCTGCCTGTGTGTTTGTGTTTGGCAGCGAGAGAGGGAGAGAGAGAGGGAGAGAGAGAGGGAGGATAAGACCCTTGAAGGAGGCATATGTATTTATATCCAGTAGTACTTGCAGAGGGGTGTGTCTGCTGCACAAGTCTTTTAACCATCAAACACATTCTCTGTTCCCATGATGTTAACGCAATGGGCTGATATCAAAGCTCCATGAGATGCAGCATGTCCAGAGCAGGCAGCCTATAGACGTAGATTTAAATTTGACAACATTTTATATAATTCTGTTCTTATAGCAAAGTCTGGCTCATCAGATGCCCTATAGGCTACAGTTGTTTTTTTAAGTGAATCATATTACGTGCAACGTAAACATGGTTTGTATCATCAATGCCTTTCACTTCACGTTTGGAAACTTGCTGTTGTCTAATATAAACAACCTTCTCTCCCTCAATATTTTATTCATATACTAGCAAATGCATTTTGCAGGAAATGTAATCCCACAGGATAAAGCAACATAACAAGGAAATGTTTATGTTGAACATATCAAGCTGCTCAGTGCCGACACAATTATGTTGTACAAATCTGCAAAATATTGTCTGTCAATGTGTCCTATTTGTTTTCCCTACAATATCAACTCCTAACAACTAAAGCATGATTAATGTTTTCACTGCTATATCATAACTCTTGGTTAAGGTCAGACAAAGATCGTGGTCTTGGTTAAATATCGAAAAACATCAATGCTGGAACATTTAACCGAACCATCTCTCTCCCTAAACTTAACCAAGTGTTTTAGTAGCCTAAACATGTGAGACACATGTCAAAGCCTTGCTTCGTACACCCAACCATCCACCCTGATCTCCTCCCTGTGACTGTTCTGAGTTGAAATATGTCACACATTGTGGATTGGAAAACATGTTCTCAATGAATGCAATCCAAGCAGCAATTACATTACCTCAAAAATGTATTTGTAAAAAGCAAATTAGTACAGATGTGTATTTTGTTGGAGGGTTAAGGTTACATCCTGAAGTATGGAAATGCCATAGGCTCTGTCATGAACAACTCTTCATTGCAGTTAAGGCAAAAAACTAAAACAAAAAAACATTGTGCTTGACAGTCAGGTGTCAGAGTTATGTCAGCTCTTTGCTTTTATCAGCAGTCATCCAGCTACCTTTTTGTTTTAACAGTCCATCGACTGTTCAATCAGAATATTCATACTGATTGGCTAGAAACGAGGTCAGAAGTTCTACTTCTTGTCAAAACATAGACAATGTCAATGACATAACTGGCATGTGTTATTTCCCATACCATACCCATTCCTACCTTAACTAACAAATACTCTGTCTCTGAGGGAAGTTACTGTACAATGCGATCCTGACAGCCTTGTGCTTCTTGTGTGAGTGTGTGTTTGCCCTCAGCGCAGGGCCTGTCTGTGGCTGCCACCGCTAAACGTCCCCTTAGCATCGGCAAATGGCCAGACTCTGTCACAGCCGCTGACTGGACCAGCTGTTTCTTTCTCTTTTTTCCATCTTATCTCCTCCGTCACACTATCTGTCTTCCTCTGTGTGATTTGCCTTGTGAAAGAGGCAGTGATAAGGTGACTGGTGGTGCAGCTCTTGACACCAAAGTTGATATCCTCCCATGCTGGCATCAGTGGGAGACATTTTTGTGTGTGTGTGTTGTTTGACAGGGCAGGCAGGACACAAACAGCATCCCGTGGATTGTGGGAACACAGAGGACACTTGCGCTCTATGTTGTTTTTGTGGTTCCGTTGACAGACCGACAAGTGGGAGGAGGACAGTGAAGGTCAGAGGGTGCTCAGTTTGGGACGCGGCCGGTCAGACCCAGTTAGACAAACAATGAAAGTAAAATGGGATGGGTCTGGGCTTAAGCTGTCTGGCCGTGCCTTGGCCTGGGCTGCTGGCGTAGGCACTTTTTCGTACCCTGTGCATCTCACATTGGGAGTTATCAGAGCGTGCAGGCAGGGAGAGTCATAGCAGCAGCGGGGTAGCAGTAGTAGTAGCAGCTCGCTGGGGGCTGCAGAGGGTCCTGGATCTGACCTGATTTGTCAATTCGATGACTTCACTGAAGTGTCGCTCCTCTGGGGAATCATTGGTTTATAATTCAGCAATCATGGTTCAAGCAGGAGATTTGCTGTTTCATGTTTTGTTGAAAGAAAATTGAGGTGCATAATGGATTTATCAGGAGTGCAATTTGACATCAAAGCCCATCTGAAGAGGCTCTGATTGTCCTGGACTGCCTCGACATGGCTTATCCAGAGCACTTTGATTGGTTGAAAGAAACCGTCAGTTTGTTTCCAGGTAAGAGCAGTGATTTAATGAGTTTATGTGCGGGTTGAAATAAGAAATTAGAAGAAGACTAGGATGAGAAATATTCATCATCAGAGCTATAATTTAACATGCTGCAGCTTCCTGATCATCCCAAGTCTTTAAACATGATTTGAATGAGGATGTTACAAACTTCTCAGCATGTTGTAAATGTAGTGTGCAAATGATAAAAGGCTTCTTCTTCAGCTGAAGTTGTTTACTGCTCTACAAACACATCTACAGGGAATGGAAGGTGAAATGCATGTCTGTGTTAACAGTTTTTGAGCCAATTAAATCATCTGAAGGAGCAAGGTCTGGAGAGAACAAGTGAATGCAAATGGGACAGAGCTGAACAGCAGACAACGGAGCAGGGCAGGACAAAAGAGACGAGGTAAAACCGAACCAAGACACTAATGATTAGGATGCAGAAACTAATTTGGTCTCACTTTGTGAAGTTTTTGTCATTCGAACCAAGTAAAGCTGCACAGGGAAAAATGATAATACCTTGAGCAAAAATGTACCATCAGGTTTTGTTCTTTGGCTCTTAAACATTTGACCTTTTAATTAAATTAGGAATTCCTCCTCTTCCTTGTAGCTGCAAGTGAAGAAGAGAACATTTCTCCTCCTTTGACTTGTATATCAGAAGGAATTTGTGTCCTTTTCATGTTGCATTTTAAATTATGTATGAAAAGTATTTGCATATTTGTGCATGAGTGAATGCCTTGCATCTCAATACCAAATTATGCTTCTAAATGACAATCTAAAGGATACAAAATTAATGTGGTGTTTTGAAAACACACGAATTCACCAAGCTGCCGCAGAGCGCTTACATGCGCTTAGGAACCAAAAATAGACACATAGTCGACGCAAACAGCAACACCAACACACACACATGCACAGAGTCCCTGTTTTGCTGTAGCATGGGGCAGGTTTCAGTGAAAGTGTGTGTCCGTCGAGGTGTTGTTGTACAAAAGGGGAAATGCCTGTGGAGGCTCAGATGGTGACAGATGGTTTGGAGACAAATCAGCCTGGGAGTCGGGATCTCTGCCCTGGGACTAGTTGCCCCTTTAAGTGTGTTTGTGTGTATGTGTTGATATATGCATGTGTGGGTGTGTGTGGGTGTGTGTCTTATGAACTGCTGTATGTACATGTCCAGGTTAGTCTTCAATATGTACACATATATTTGCATATATCTATGCATGGCTGAGTATCTGTCTGTTTTGTGTGTACAGGATGTTACACTCATGGTTTGTGTATATGTGCATGTGGTTATGTAATACTTTTGTAACAACACACTGAATGAGACAGGAACATCAACATGTATTGCTTTCACATATTTAAAGGGCACATATTAATGTGGCAGAACAATCTACATTTTTAGTCACTTAAGCATCACTCAGCTCTAGAGCCCTCAGAGCCGTGGTTTATGGGTACATACAATACACAGCTAGACACACACACAGTCACAGCTCACCTCAGTCTTACACATGCACTGTAAAATAATGGAGTTTCATAATCTTTGCCATATATTACCAGGTGCAATTTCTCATCAGAGTGACATTGTTACTCTTTGGCAGAATAACCTTGCAGGCATTAGTCTGAAACTTCACAAAGTGCTTTACAATGTGCCCATAAATTACAGCTCAAGAGGTGCTTATGTGGCAGCCAGGAGAAGTTGTGCAGTAAGTAGTTCCTCTGGCCTCTGCATAGAGGCAATTCCCAGAGGCCTCTACACTTAAAGTACATCGCAGTCCAGACCTGTTTGGACTGTTCTGAGAGGGCAGTTGCTAAAAGCTCTACAGGAATAAGTTTGGACTGTTTGAGTGCATAAACATGCACCTCCATCTGCTGTCTTACATGCATTCAGTGGTGCGTATGTGTGTGCACATGTGTTGTTGTGTCTCTTAGCAGTTGAGCTTGGCCTAGACGACTTAAGCCCTACTAGCCTCTAATAATCTCATTGCCAAGATGTACCATCTAGGTCAGGGGCTTCCATCTTCTCTATTGCTGCTTAGAGACCACAGAGAGGGTGAGTGATTGTGTTCCAAAGACATTTTGTCCGTCATGAAATGAAAGTTTAATAAAAAAAAAAAAAAAAATTGCCCTTATGTTGAGTGCAACCCAATTGACTGTACAGTCAACCCTGCTTCCATTAGTAACTGTCGAGCTTTTCATTTTTCTCACAAACCAGAGCAGATTTCTCATTTCTAGCAGACGACCATGGATTTTGTCAGCTGAAGTGACAACTGTCGCTAGCAGATTTTATCCACTAATGTACAATTTTCAACATAAAGTTTTCCATAATGTACCATAAGCTAGTGCTAAGGTACAATTGAAAACTCTTCTTAAAGTTTCGAGGTAGTTTGTTTTAAAATGAGAACCAGAAAAAGGGTACATACATGATGTAATGACAGGTTAAAAGTTATTATCCTCACAATACATGGAAATAAAGAAACAGCATTTTCTGTGTATTGGTTAGAGGTAGTTAACCTTATAAAATTAAAGTACAGCGATTAAAATGGAATTAAAACATGTAGTTAAAATGTCCTTCCAACATAGCCCATAATGCTTTAAGGCATGATTCACTTACAAGAGAAAAGGATTTGGGGAGGAGGCTAAAGTAATGCTAACAAAATTAACGTCCCCAAACTAAATAAAGATCAGGACAGAGCTGTTAACATTACTCTAAACCCTTCTAACTTCCAGTCCTGGGCAGGTATTTTTCTAACTTAATCTGTAACCTCACAAATAATGAAGTTAGCTAATGCCCCTTGCCTTTGGAAATAGCACTAAGATTGCTACTGCAAGTATAGGAAGCTAGTTAGCTGGACATGCTAATGTTTGCACTTACAGTCGACAAACACATTAATCAGTGTTTTACTCTTTGCTCTTGTGTTTCTGGTTTTGTAAAGGCTAGCCTGGTTGGTGTGCACCTGCCTTACAAACTTCTCCAAACTTATACTGGGCTTACCCACCACTCATACACGCAGATAGAGAGTTTTTAGTCTGATTATCACTTCCACTGCACTATAGATCTGGTTCATAGTTGGATCCAGCGTTATGAGATGTGTTTTTGTATGTATATTGCTCGAAGGTAACAAGGGCTTCAGCTACTGCGTGTGTCAGCTTATGATTCAGTGCAAGGCTGCGATCAAGCCTTATATTAGTCACTGTGTGTTTCACTGCGGTGGCTGCAGAAAGCAACTTTATCGTTGGTATTTACAAAATATTTGAGCATTGCTTTTTGTCCTCCTCTCCCAGGAGTATATGTTATAGCCTTATCCCTGATGTTGTCTTTATTGACTTCATATTGGGAATTTAATTTCTAATCAGCCTAATGTGTTCATGTTGGTATTACAAATTGCAGAAACCATTTCATATATGTGCTCTAAAAATAGTAACAAGGTCAGTAACCTTGGGTCGATTTGTGGAGGTTTAGGTGGACATCTGCCAAAAGTGGAAATGGTTGCTGACATGTCCGCATTGCATAAGAGATTTGTAGCTCAGCACAAAATTAGGGCTGTGGACTGCATTTCTCTTTGCTGGTTATCTAAGGGGATACCTGTGGAGAGAGTATTACAGTCATGTGATTATGTGCACCAGTCGATGTGATGGACCAGGAGAAAGACAAAAAGCAATCATGTCTTTTTGACCCTACCTCTACTAGTTTGTGTTAGTTATATACTGTAAGTAATTCAGTGGATGGGATTATATGATAGTTGCATAAAAAGTTCTCACATTACAACCCTTCAGGGCTATGATGTGATATGCTGCTGTGTGAAGTCCGTCCTGTTGGATGCATCCTGCACTTTGTCATTTTCTTGTGACTTAATTGACTAAAAAATTATATAAATATTTTGTACGCTTGAATTCAGATCACATCATGACAAATACAAAATGAGTGGTTTGATTTAAACATAAACCCTGTATATCTTGCATATTTTTTTATTTCTCACAATTGATGCAAAACATACTTGAATCAGTTCTGTAGAAGGCATGTTTGTGTAAACATGCCCGTGGGACGCAGTTTCGGGCTATGACTTAACACCTTTTTGATCCAGTATTGAGCTTTCTAAAGGCAGAAGTGTCCTGCACAATAATCTGTTGTGCTGTGATTATGCTGCACTGTATGCACCACAAAAGCCTTAAGCCTTCTCAGCTTCCATCCTCTCTCCATCGCTTGTTACATTTCTGTCTCTTTCTCTTTTTCTTGTTTCCTCTATCTATTCCTTTCTAGATCTCTCCTTAATCCCCCCCCCCCCACCATGCTCCCTGGCCCCCATCAATCTATCTCTCCATCTTTCCTGTTTGAGGCCACTAATTTGGTCTGTCTGGCTCTCCTGCAGGGCAGCAGAGGAAATGATTGAGAACAATTTCCATAATTACATTTTTTTTGCCTTGTCTGTTTAAAGTAACATTTAGAAATAAAGTCCTCTGTGACTTCTGTCATTGCATCTGTTCAGGAGGTACTGCCAAGTCAAAAGAGTTAGTCATTTTCACAACTAAAACTGATTTAGCGCACTGCTATGCAAACTTAATTTATACTTTTTAGCAACTACCCTGATTATTTGTCACATCCTGTCCAGCAACTGACCATTTCTAAGTCTTGTACTAATCCTCCACATTTTAAACTCGTTGAGGTTGGTGTCTACAGTCCCAAAACACAGCAAAATGTATAAGAACTTGATTAAACAGTGTGTTTACCTGCTATAACATAAACTGCAATCATTGGCATGACAGGCTGACTGGCTTTCTACCCACAGTAGTAACTTAGCATTATTTTCAAAAGCAGGGGTATGTCATTAGCTAACTAGATTATTTTGTTGGGTTACATTAGAAAACCTGCTCAGGATGGGACCACCCACAATCCACAAAGAGACAAGATGCTAGTATATTAATTTAAGATAACATTAACGGCTCTTTCCTGCCCTTTATTTGGTTTGAGGGATGTTTACAGACTTTTTTTCGTGGAATATAATAATCTAATTGTCATTCTTTCATTTTATCACATATGTATCCATCATGTGCATATTTAAGATGTTTTTTTATTAGTTCCTCATTAAAAATAAATCAGCTAGAGACATAAAAAAGTCATGGGATTTTAACAACTTTTATTGTTAGCATTAGTTTATGTTAGCTAGCTGTTGATTAATCTGTTAAAAGCTTTGCAAGTGACAGTTGTCATTTCAGTCAAGACTGCTTTTCTTTACGTCTGCATGAAATCCAAGTGGTAAATCTGCCTGTATTTTCATTGTAAACTGCATATGTGGCTTGCAAGAATGGAAAGCTTTACAGCAAGAGTAAATAAGGAGGGTGGGGCATGAACAGTCACTTGCACAGAGTTGCACAGTATGCTCTAAAGCACAATGACAGCCAGTGCAAATTATGCATATATTTTCATATTAACACGAGCACCACCATATGCTTTTTTTCATGAAGATCCAGACATTGAATCCTCAAGTGGTTTTACTGGGCCCTTCCAAGGTGTTTACTTAAGTGGAGGTCTCTTGCTTGTTTTGTGCATAATGCACATGCACAATACATGTACTGCATTGGGAAAATGGTCTCAGACTTTTGGACCCCACTCTATGTAAATGCAGGAATGAATTGTGTGGACTGGCACAGCAAACATTATCTGTGCAAAAGCCATAACAGAGAGGGAGAGAGGAAATAAGGAAGGGGGCGGGGGGAGGATGACTTTGTTTTTCTCTGAGGACAATGCCTCCTAGAAAGGCTAGACACAATAGACTCCATTCACAGCCGCACCAACAACAGCATGACATTTTGTTCCTGTGACTGGACATCATGCATCCACCCAAACCACCAATACCACAGTGGGATTTCCAAACAGTCTTGGTAGTGGAGTAAAAGCACAGGCAGGAACATTGCAGATGCAGTGCATGATGTGCCACTGACAGTAGCTGCATACTGTATAAACCTCTATGAAACCTTACATAGAGACCCCACAATCCTAACTTGGCATAATCTTTCTTCTTTTTCTCCTCACTTCAGTGCATCAGCTAGTTTTGTTCTTATGTTTATGTTATATAACCAAAGTGGACACTTTGTTTGGACTTTTGTAGCTTGTTCCTTCTTTGTTTGTGTCCTGCAGCATTGTAAATCTTAGCATGCTACAGAGCAGCAGAGTACATGACAGCACAGCACAATTTAAAACATCACCAATTATTCAGTATTAAACTGGCACTTACAGCCAGTCAGCCTGACTGATCTGCAGTGCTTCAACAACGCAGCTTGCAGGTATGGCGAGCAAAGCCTAATTAATTGCTGTGCTGACTTGATAATAACCTGAATTATCTTTTTTATTATTGCCTGGCTTTATATTTGCTGGTGTATAAAAGTCTTAATACCTTTGTAGATATTCCTTTCCATATAGTGCACCACAGTGTGCTATCTGTTAGGCTTAGCATTAGATTGAAAGACGAGCGAGAGACGATTGGTGAGATATTTAAAGATCCTGATGCATATTTGTTGCTGCACACCTTTTTATTTAACTTTTATTGGATAAATAACTTATTAAGGTTTGCTTGTTAAGTGTCAGTGGCATATTTACCAACTCCATCAACATAAACAACTCTTAACATGCAAGTATCATAAATCAAAACTCTGAACACCATATGCAGTTTCACCTGGAATGTGATTATTTTTTATACTGTAATTTAATGGCATCTTTAAACATCCTTGAACAGTACATGCTATTTACTTGTCAAAACTATTTGCTCATATTCTGGTGTGTGCAACAATGCAAAATGTCTTATGTTATATTGTGTTTTCAGAGGAAAAGTGTACATTTGATGATGCCGTGATGCAAAATTAATAACACACTTCTGCGTCCACTCAATTTGGTGAAGTGTTATCCCTCCCATATACAGTAAAACATAATGAATTCATTCAAGGTCATGGTGCTAAACAGGCTGAAGGGGAGCACAGATTGAGGGAGACAGATTGGGGGAAAAAAAAGCCAAATAAAAAACAGGAACTTGCACTACCCTTCAAAATAAGAGTAGCAGTGCAGGAATGGGTTTTATCTCTGTATTAAATTCAGCACTCAGAGTATTAATCTGCAGCTCTCTTCCTTGGTTTGCCAGGTTTGCCAGGGTTTTCCAGCATGTTTGGGAAGAAGAAGAAACGGCTGGAGATCTCAGCTCCGTCTAACTTTGAGCACCGGGTCCACACGGGCTTCGACCCGCGGGAGCAGAAGTTCACCGGGCTGCCGCAGCAATGGCAGAGCCTCCTGGCGGACACTGCCAACCGGCCTAAGCCCATGGTGGACCCCTCCTACATCACCCCCATCCAGCTGGCACCAATGAAGGTAGAGTGTGAATGGACAGAGGGCATCGGGCCTGAGCACTGGGGACAAATCAGTAACATTTTCTGTCTTATCACTTGCATCACTTTTATTTTTGTTTTTGCATTTTTGGGACTCTTCATCCCTCTTTTTCTCCCCTACTCTCACCCATATCCTTCCTCTCTCTCTCCATATATATGAATTTATATTTTAACAATCCAAATTTCTTCCCTCAACCGTCCCAATCCTATTCCTTCAACTTTTCTATCTTTGCATTCTCACTCTGTTTAGCTGCTTTTCACTTCTGTCACTGTCTCTCACCACTCCTGTTACACTCTGTTGTCTTTCCTCAGAGGCAGTATAGATAATTCTCCAGTGCCATCTGGCCACTTCACACTATTCGAATTTCCATTTCGTTTATGAAATTATAGTCATATCATTGTAAATGATATTGCTTTAAACCTGCATTAAACAATTTTTTTTATATTAAAGTGACATTGAATGACCCCTTCATAGGAGCCTGACTCACTGTGAATTAAAGCAAGTTTATAACTTTTAAAAGAAGAAATAACAGTCTTCCTTTTAAAAAATGAAAAGCTGAATTCATGAGCAATAAATTCAGCCCTTGCTCACATCAGCACACTCTCTTCATGAGGCATGTTTGTTGTTTACTGCATATGGTCCCGTTCCACTCGCTTTATGTCGAACCACCCAATGATGATGATGTCGTCTTAACTGTGACTGACTCAAGAAAAATCCGTTGGCCACTTTTCAGCAAAAGTTGCAGTGTCTCATTTTAACAGCTGACTCAGTTCTCTGTTGCTTCTAGCTGCTTTTAGCACATTATTTTGGTTCTGTGGCTGCACATAGACTGTATGGTTGAGTGTCACCACTCACAAGATCATACCATATGAAAAAGTAAACACCGAACACTCTCTGCACTAACCGCCAAGCTCAAGCGGCTGAGACCTGAGGTAAACAAAAGGGTCAAAAAGGAGAAAGTACGAGATAAATGTGCCGCTTGGACCATTGAAGCACACCGCTTACTGTAACATGCCTGGTCAGCTATTGTTGCATGTTATACCTTATTATCCTCTGTTAGCTATTAAAGAAAGACAAAAAAATAAGATCAAAACATATGCCAGTGAAAATGACTTAGATATTTACTACAGACTTTATATATATTTGCCAGAAGCACAGCTCCAATGTGCTGCTCATTGTCTCTCTGTCTGATATGTTAGTGGGGCAAATGTTTGCTAACATGTTGCACCATAAGCACATAGGCCTTCTGCCCCCTGCTGGTCAGAAATTGCTTAATGCAGCTTTAAAGACAGTATCTTATTAAACTTTTCCATTAAATGATGTCAAAGTCATCAAAAAAAAAAAACCCTAATGCAAACTGGTGTTCCTTTTCATTTGGTTCTGTCTTTCTCTTCCTTATCTCCCCTGTGACTGTGATTGTATGTCTCCTCTTGTCTCCGAACCTTCTGAGTGTCTCCTCTGATGTGTTGTTGTTCATTGGTTCTTCTTAACATATCGCATCGACATATTTGATCAACTGAAAAAAGGGCTACAGTTAATTATATCCATTTGTACACTGGAAGATTACCATTTCTGTGCACCTTTCTCTGGGTTGTAGCAGAACATATGATTGTTTTTGTATTGTGAGGGCCTTTCCTTGCATACTGGAGGTTGTATTAGTCCTCATGGGTCTTCACAGGGTCACTGCTTAACCGTGGCATTTTTTTTCTTCCATTGTACTGTCTGTGGTCCCATCTTACTGCTTGTGTGACCCACACTCAAACCTTTGAGTGGGCCAGTGCCCTTCAGCTTTGAAGCTAGGACACTTTGTCTTGTGTGTGTTATAACACCTGCTTCCTCCATTTTTGTTGACCTTGATAATACTCGCCCAACAAACGTCTCACTTTTAATAAATAAAGTTGATATATAACACTGCAACACTCGGTTGCATTTGAATACATCTAAAACACTGACACTAAATGCACTATTGTGAGCATTAATCTTCAAGCTAACTTACACATTCGTCTTTGAGGAACCACTTACAGGTCTTGCTGACAGGAAAACACATGCTCAGATATCCACAAAAGTCCTGTAACAGAGAACAGCAATATGCCACAGGAGATATCTCTGAAGAGGGGGAAACAAGAAAATAATTCTCTTGCTCTCTTCACAGATATCTCCCAAGAAAGTCCGGTCATCCGAAACGCCGTTGCCCAAAGTATGACACCCTCTTCCCTTCTGTTTTTAATCCCCCCACCCCCTTTTTTTGGTTTGTTTTTTCGTTGTTGGTTTTTTTGGTTTGTTTTTGTTGGTCACTCTCACACAGTCACAGCTCCGCTGTTTCGTTACCACATCTCTCCTCCGCTGCCTGCTGCCATGCGTTCAGGTGGAGGTGGTGTGTCAGCAGGAACAGGGAGAAACACTTGAGAATGACTCCACACATGACATAACTACATTGCTCTGCCAAGTCTTTTCTTAGACCTCATCTCCACTCTCCTTTTGTTTCATTCGCATGAGCCTCCCCAGAAAAAGACAAGATTAACTGTAGCAGCATGCTCCCTTGTTTCTCCCCTTTGCTATGGAGCGCCATTGATAATGATGATGATGATGATAATCATAATGATGATAACGATGATGGTGATGATGATGGGTGCTGAGATGTGAAGTGCATGTTGCCATGACAACTGATTCTGCTCTGCTGTAGGCCACCAGAAAATAGGTCATAAAGGGTTTGCACGTGTTAGAAGAACCCTTTCTACAATGTACCTCTTGAGCCAAACCAGCCTATAGCCTGGGTGAGGCCTTCTCTCCTCTCCTCTCCCCTCTCCGTCCCCTCTTCTCCTCCCCTCTCCTCTCCTCTCCTCTCCTCTCCTCTCCTCTCCTCGCTATTGTCATCTCCCCTTATCCACCCTAATCAAAAGCCTGTTAGTCAAGGGAATTAATCAAATATGAATGAGTTGAAATTATGTGATATATCCTGGATGGATTGCAGGCAAGTTTCTGCAAGTGTTTAATGGAGCTTCAGTGAAATTTATACCTGGAATCTGTTTACTAGTGACAAAACTACTGAGAGGGTACAAAACAAGTAACTCAAGTCAAGCCTTGAGAGTGTGCACGGACATACTTGAAAGTGCAGAACAAGCTTTGATAGTAAAATTCAGATTTTGTATGTTTATCTTGAAGTCTGTGCTCAGCTTTCTCCAGCTGTTATGCCAATTTCTGAGCACTTGAGAGAGTGGAGAGTGTGCTTGCCAACAGCTTTTAATTAACATGCTCAAACAGGACATACCCATATCATCTGTCATATCTTTATATAGCTCAATATCAAATGAACTAATAATCGAAGATGTTGATAATACAATATTTGTCATGCTCCTCGGTAAACAAAGTCATTGCACTGCCAAATCTCAGGAGTTAGTTTCTAATAGACAAGGATAATTTCAAAGGGAAAATATTGTTACCATTGTCACACAGGAGTGATGACACTCAGTAACAGGACATAAAAGTCATCACTTGTAAAGATCTAGACATACTCACACTTTAAAACTCAAGGGGGATCCGCAATTTTGATGAAAAACAGTAGGTGTTTTATAACTGTAGTGGAGACAGGGTGGGTGGCTTTCACAGATGTGATCTCTGAACTGGAGAAAAATAACTGATCAGCACATAATATCAAAATCACACAGTCTTCCCTAGAGGGAAAAAAGATCCCATCTGAATAGGACTCTGGTCTTAAGTCTTTTTAGGGAAACAAAAAAGCAGAGAAACCACTGTGGTGTAGTTTGATGCTGCTTAGAAGTCGGGGTCACTTCACTCACACGTCAAATCCAAACAATCCTGCGCTGCTCCCAGTGGCAGTGTGTGAACACAGCGAATACAAACTAACACATTTGTGAGTAAGTCGTGTGTGAGTGAAGAAGTAAATGAAGGAAGTCCTGTGGTTTGTTCAAATTTTGTGATATGCTTTCTGTCAAAACCTGTTCTACTCCTGCACACTAAACAAAATATTTACTTTCAGATTACCACCCACACCATCCTTTAGTAGATTTGGCTTTTTTTTTTTTTTTTTGGCACTTAGTTGCTTCTTTGTGTTTTTTAATGGCAGCGTCAATCTAATGAGAGTATGTTGTATTTGTGTGTGTGTGTGTGTGTGTGTGTGTGTGTGTGTGTGTGTGTGTGTGTGTGTGTGTGTGTGTGTGTGTGTGTGTGTGTGTGTGTGTGTGTGTGTGTGTGTGACCCTGACTCCCAAGGTGGGCTGGGTTATTTATAGGGTCTCATCCATGGCCTGATATCCTTCTCCCCTGGTTGCCCTGACACTTGATTGACACCAGGCTTCCTCTGCCTGGCAGACTCCCCCAGCTCCCTCTACTAAGTGTGTGTGTTTGTCTTCATGTGTGTGGGTGTGTGTGTGTTTATGCACACACGAGGTGAGCAGGGATGAAGTGGTTTCCAGTCCGCCAGTACTGTCCTCTCCAAACAGCACAGAGGGACAGAGTACAGTAAAAAAAAAAAAATGGTGTGTGTGTGTTTGTATATTTATTTGCGTGTGTGTCTGTGTCCGTGTGTGTGTGTGTGTGTGTTTGCGCGCACACAGAGCAGTTAGAGAAGAGGTCGGCACTGTCATCATGCTGAAATAACTACTACCTCTGCCCTCTGGCTTGTGCGCTCATCGTTTATTCACAAGGCTTGTAGCCTTGTTGTCAGACTGCTCATCTCAGCTGAGCATTAGTATTGCTTAAAGCTTTGGCTCTCATCTCTACCCCCCAACCCCCACCCCCTCCACCAGCCCTCAACACACATGCTAATCCAAAAGTTTAGGCTAACACCGTGCCCTAACAGCATTTCCATGTTTTAAACATTGTGCTCTTAAAGCTTCTCCATTCTGACAATTGGAAGTGTGTGTGTGTGTGTGTGTGTTGGTGCAGGAGTAAGTGCACTAGAACTACTGTACCTCCATGCAAAACGTCTTCATTTTTACTTACCATTTCTGGGCTTGATGTTGA